ATTAGACTGGACTATAAGACATAAAATGATACTTGTGAAGAGTGTGCTTCTTAGTTCAAGTAGACACGAGACTAAATGGGCAGCTCCTGTCCGGAGGCAAGATGAGAAGGCAAAAAGGGAGAGGAGTTGGTTGAATGGACAAAGGAAATCTGGGGTGAAAAGGAGGAGTGTGCTGTCATAGTATAGGAGGAGCAACTAGGGTCACACAGCAATGTGTGTATAAATTTTTGTATGAGAAACTGACTTGAACTGTAAACTTTCACTTAAAGCACAATAAAAAACAATAATAATAATAATAAAAGATCTATCCTGAAGTACAACACTGTCAGTGGTAGCATAATATCCATTCCCCTACAAGGAGGACCAGTTAATACGACTATTATTTCAATTTACGCACCAACCACTAAGACCAAAGATGAAGAAATTGAAGATTTTTACCAACTTCTGCAGTCTGAAATTGATCAAACATGCAATCAGGATGCACTGATAATTACTGGTGATTGGAATGTAAAAGTTGGAAACAAAGAAGAAGGATCGGTAGTTTGAAAATATGGCCTTGGTGACAGAAATGATGCCGGAGATAGCATGCTAGAATTTTGCAAGACCAACAACTTCTTCGTTGCAAATACCTTTTTTCAACAACATAAATGGCAACTACACATGTGGACCTCACCAGATGGAATACACAGGAATCAAATCGACTACATCTGTGCAAAGAGACGATGTACACTGCAGACGTATACTGCAGGTGTCTTCTGCAGATGTATATGGCAGAAGTACACTGCAGATATCCACCACAGATGTATCATCAGTCAGAACACAGCCAGGGGCCAACTGCAGAACAGACCATCAATTGCTCATATGTAAGTTCAAGGTGAAACTGAAGAAAATTAGAACAAGCCCACAAGAGACAGAGTACGACCTTGAGTATATCCCACCTGAATTTAGAGACCATCTCAAGAATAGATTTGATGCACTGAACACTAATGACAGAAACCAGACGAGTTGTGGAATGACATCAAGGACATCATACATGAAGAAAGCAAAAGGTCATTAAAAAGACAGGAAAGAAAGAAAACCAAAATGGATGCTGGAAGAGACTCTGGAACTTACTCTTGAATGTCCAGTAGTTAAAGCAAAAGGAAGAAATGTTGAAGTAAAAGAGCTGAACAGAAGATTTCAAAGGGCAGCTCAAGAAAACTGAGTATTATAACAACTCGTGCAAAGACCTGTAGATAGAAAATCAAAAGGGAAGAACATGCTCAGCATTTCTGAAGCTGAAAGAACTGAAGAAAATATTCAAGCCTCAAGTTGCAATATTGGAGGATTCTACGGGGAAAATATTAAACGATGCAGGAAGCATCAAAAGAAGATGGAGAGAATACACAGAGTCACTATACCAAAAAGAATTGGTCAACGTTCATCCATTTCAGGAGGTAGCACATGATCAGGAACTGACAGCACTGAAGGAAGAAGCCAAGTTGCACTGAAGGCACTGGCGAAAAACAAGGCTCCAGGAATTGACGGAACACCAACTGAGACGTTTCAACAAACGGATGGAGCACTGGAAGTACTCATTATGCCAAGAAATTTGGAAGACAGCTACCTGGCCAACTGACTGGAAGAGATCCATATTTATGCCTATTCCCAAGAAAGGTAATCCAACCGAAGGTGGAAATTATCGAATATCATTAGTATCACACACAAGTAAAATTTTGCTTAAGATCATTCAAAAGTGGCTGCAGCAGTATATCAACAGGGAACTACCGTAAATTCAAACAGGATTCAGAAGAGGACGTGGAACCAGGGATATCATTGCTGATGTCAGATGGATCCTGGCTGAAAGCAGAGAACACCAGAAAGATGTTTACCTGTGTTTTATTGACTATGCAAAGCCATTTGACTATGTGGATTATAACACGACTATATGGATAACATTGGGAAGAATGGGAATTCCAGAACACTTAATTGTGCTCCTGCAGAACCTGTACATAGATCAAGATGCAGTTGTTCAAACAGAACAAGGGGATACTGCGTGGTTTAAAGTAGGGAAAGGTGTGTATCAGGGTTGTATTTTCACCATACTTATTCATAACGATCTGTGTTATGCGGATGACACAACCTTTCTTGTTGAAAGTGAAGAGGACTTGAAGCACTTACTGATGAAGATCAAAGACCACAGCCTTCAGTATGGATTACACCACAACATAAAGAAAACAACAATCCTCACAACTGGACCAATAAACAACATCATGATAAATGGGGAAAACACTGACGTTGTCAAGGATTTCATTTTACTTGGATCCACAATCAACACCCATGGAAGCAGGAGTCAAGAAAGGAAAAGATGTATTGCATTGGGCTAATCTGCTGCAAAAGATCTCTTTAAGGTGTTAAAAAAGCAAAGACATCACCTTGAAGACTGAGGTGTGCCTGACCCAAGCCATGGTGTTTTCAATCACTTCATATGCTTGAGAAAGTTGGATGATGAATAAGGAAGACCGAAGAATTGACACTTTTGAATTATTGTGTTGGCAAAGAATACTGAATATACCATGGACTGCCAAAAGAACAAAAATCTGTCTTGGAAGAAGTACAACCAGAATGCTCCTTAGAAGCAAGGATGGTGAGACTATGTCTCACATACTTTGGATATGTTATCAGGAGGAATCAGTCCCTGGAGAAGGACACCATGCTCGGTAAAGTAGACGGTCAGCAAAAAAGAGGCAGACCCTCAATGAGATGGACTGATACAGTGGCTGCAACAATGGCTTAAGCATAACGACTGTGAGGATGGCACAGAACCAGGCAGTGTTTCGTTCTGTCGTACATAAGGTCGCTGTGAGTTGGAACCTACTCAATGGCAGGTAACAACAACAATGTGCGTTCTATGATACTTGTTGATTCTTTCACCTTTTTTCCCCCTTTAATCCCTCAACGTGTCACACTCTAGCCTTCCTGAGGGCAAATCCAAGTCTGTTTATTCTCCGCAATGTCCCCCAAATCAAACACAAGGTCTGCACCAGCAGCTCTCAATACCATTTAGCTTAATACTGAATACACAGATAGCTCTGGAGGCAGTCTGAAGCTGACGTTTCCCGAACATCTCCTTAACGGCAAAACTCGGTTGGGCCAAAAGAGCGGGGAGAAGGGTAGTCACAGGATCACAGTGTCCTGGACTTATCACTAATTTTGACAGCCTCAGACTCCTTGTTTGTAAGATAAAGAGAGTCGTACCAGCTCTACCGATTTTCCACGGTACCATCGTTCAGTCATTCATCAACTCTCCCTACACTCTACTCTTAATGAAAGTTCAGAGGCTATGTCACGTATCTGCGGACGCACAATGATCAGTCGCGCAGTGTGAACGACAACACCGCCCTACTGGCCTCCGGAGCCAAGACTTGCCCGGAACGGCAAGGGCTGCCCCTCACCTCGCGGGATCAGAGCGGGCAAAGGCTGCGAGAAGGGAAGGAAGGCGGAGAAAAGCGGAGACGCCTCCTGGGAAAGCGGCCGGCACACTCACCCTCCAGGATGGCGGGGATGCAGCCGAGCTGCACGGGCGTAGGCTGCTTCAAACCCAGCTGCCGACATTGTTCCACGAGCCACGATGACAACCCAAGCTCCCTGAAAGACGCCATCCTCACCGCCAGTCGCGGGGCCAGTATGAGACGCGCTTCCGGCGCGCGCCAATGACGTCACGGAAGCCTACCGGTTCATTGAGACTAACTCACTCAGCCAATCCCCGCCTCTTCCACCGCCTTACTGCGTTCCCCAAGATGCATTGCGGGACACGCTTGCGTATCCCGCCCCCTTACCCCTGTATATGAGCTTCTCATTGGTTCTTCTCCCTGCCACTTGGAACAATTAAACTACATTTCCCGGCGTGCTCCGCGGCGGGCCCGGTTTCGGCCAACGTGTCCCTCCGGAAAGGGAAGCTGGTGAGACGACAGCAACATGGCGCCTCCGGCTCCCGGCCCGGCCTCCGGCGGCCCCGGGGAGGTGGATGAGCTGTTCGACGTGAAGAACGCCTTCTACATTGGCAGCTACCAACAGTGCATCAATGAGGCGCAGCGGGTGAAGGTGCGGCCGCGTCGAGACGGGGGGACCCTGGGGGCGGAGGCGGCGGCCGCATCCCTGTGGCCACACTCAGCTTCTGAATATTCTCCCTCTTCTCGCAGCGTATTCCTTCCACTCACTTAAGAGCGCGGCGAGGAATTAACATTGTCTTATTCCAAAATCTAAAGCTGTAACAGCTTTGTTATAAAGGGCTCACTCTGCGCCCCGGAAGGCATTCGAGTGAGGAAAATGTTTATTCCGTTTTATAATAATAATAATAATAGTAGGTCCCACTTGTCGAGCGCACACTGTGACCGCCGTATCCTCAGTACCCGTGAAGGAGGGACTGTCCTTTATCCTTATTTTGCAGACAAGCACTCCGAGGCTTGGAGGGAGGGTCGCTTCCCCGAATTATTACTCTGCCTACTAGCTCCGTTATTTCTGCCAAAGCTCTCTCATTTGTTCATTCAGTGAAGTGCTCATTGTACTTATTGAGGATCAGAACAGGCCATGGAATGTGTTCTTGCTGGACTCGGAACAATAACCCAAATAGACAAAACTCCAGCTCTTTTGGAAACTTCGGCGTAGCAGAAGAGACAGACAGTGAAGAAGTAAAGAAATACAAAGTCGGGAAGTGGCAAGAGAGTGGTGTGAGAGTGGTGAGCATGAGCTTGGCTGTTTGTTGTTAGCTGCCGCCCAGTCAGCTCTGAGTTGTGGCAACTCTGTGTAACAGAATGAAATATTGCCCTGCCCTGCATCATCTTCACCATCATTGGTGTGCTGGAGTGCGTTGTTAACAGCCACTGTGCGTTTTGAGTGCCTTCCAGGCTAGGCTGCTCATTTTCCAGCACAGTACGGGACAGTGGTTTGTTGTGATCCATAGAGTTTTCATTGGCTGATTTTCAGAAATATATTGCCAGGTCTTTCTCCCTAGTTTTCCTTAGTCTGGAAGCTCCGCTGAAACCTGTCAACCCCGCTGGTATTTGAAATACCAGTGGCATAGCTTCCAGCATCACAGCAACACACAGGCCACCCCATAACAACACGCTGGCAGACGGGTGGTGGTTGGCTGTTTGAGAGCTAGAAAATAGTTCGGTGTGGCAGGGCCCACTGAGTGAGGCAGGTGACAGCGTCTTTTAGGAAGAAGTGTAGACTTTGCTTCCTTTCAAGCGCGAGCCTTTAAAGCAGTGTGAACATGGCAGCGGCCTTGCCTGCCTTCACAGCCTCATGTCCCAAAAATGGTAAGTGAAGAAGGATTGAATACATAATTACAGCGTGTGATAAGCACTACATGTGGTCCTGTCGGTAAAAATCTTTAATTTCTTCATTTTTGGTCTTAGTGATTTATGTGTACGTTTGAAGAGTAGTCGTATTAACTGGTCTTCCTTGTGGGTATATGGCTATTATGCAATCACTAACAGCATTGTATTTCAGGGTAGCTCTTGAAACGTGCTTTTTGACAATGAACGCAACGCTATTCCTCTTCAATTTGTCATTCCTAGCATAGGAGACTATATGATTGTCTTATTCAAAATGGCTGTTGTCAGGCCGTTTCAGTTCAGTAATGCCTAGGATATCAACGTTTATGCATTTCATTTCATTTTTGACGACTTCCAGTTTTCCTAGATTCGTACTTCGTACGTTCCACATTCCGATTATTAATGGATGTTTGTGGCTGTTTTTTCTCGTTTTGAGAGCGGTCCTGTTTCCCGTGGGAGTGGTCCTGTCTGCCCAGGCCTTCTGGACAGCGCCATCTGAACCTGAGACTGACTCTTGAGAAAGTTCTCACCCCAGAAAGATCTGGGGAAAGTATATCCCGGGCATCAAGGACAGGAAGTGGAAAGGTGCCGAGGCAGGGATAAGCGCTGGGGTGGTCAGGCAGAGAGGCCAGTGTGGCTGCTGTAGGGTGAGTCAGGGGAGAACAAGGGTGAACGGGGTGGTGGGCAGGGCCTACGGGCCTCCAGGTGGTGTCTGACAGGTGATGGGACAAGCTGCTTCTCCCAGGGTACCGACTGTTGTGTGTGCACTTGAGTCTCACTAAGCCCTCACTTGCTGCACTTGCAGACTCCTTGGAACGGGCACTTTTTCACACCTAGGGGTACTGGGAAGAGCAGTGGTGGTGTGGTCTCACCCCCACGAAGCCCATGCCCTTCATCTCCATGGTGCCACCTGCTAATGGTGGGCTCTCCCCAGTGGAGAGTGTTGAGGAGCACACGGTGGGCTGTCCCAGCAGGGGGAGCCAAGGAGCATGTGGCAGGCTATCCCAGTGGAGGGCGCCAGGGAGTTCATGGCAGGCTGTTCCAGCAGAGGGCCCCAAGAAGCACTTGTTCAGAAAGACATTCTTCTTGCTTCTGCACATCTGGCATCTCCCTGAGCGCTCGCCAGCAGGTTCTGCTCTTCCCTGTGTGCCTTCCTGCTTTCCCCGGCCTCGCTGTCGCTCTATGGAGTCTCCCTTAGTGCTTCCGCACACGGGATATTGATGCCTCAGCTGGCCCACGTGGCTCCCGGGGATCCAATTTAAAGACGGGGCAGCTGAGGCTAGGTTGAGCCTCCAGGTCCTGAGACGCTGCCCCTTCACAGCATCCATTATGTCCTCGATGCCAAGAGCCAGTGCATGTCTGGGGAACCCAGGACGTTCCCCTCTGAGGGTCATTTCAGCCGCTTGTTTGGAAAACACCACATTCCACATCATGGTCAGATCCCCAGCTTGACCATGGAGGCTAAAGTAGAGCCACTGGGACCCGCAGCGATGATGGCATGAGGGTGGCCTGGGAGTCTGGGTCAGAGGAGGGGGACATGTATGCCTCTGCACCCCTTCCCTCCAAGTCAAGGGAGGAGGCGTGATGATGTGGAATTTGGGGGTAGGGCAGTCCTGATTCACCCCAAAACTGCAGGTGTGAACCCTTGGGTCCCTGTGTCTTTGAGGCAGGATACCCTGTCTTCCCTGTGCACCTTCCTGGGAAGTCTGTGGCTTGGGGTGTCAACCTGGTAACCCTGGAGTAGCCAGGCCCCTGTCCTGCACACGGTTGCCTCTCCTAGCCCCCAGGCAGCCCCAGCCACTCTGCGCCCACCTGTTCCAGCTGCACAGGGCTTTGGGGAAATCAGCAGGAGCTGTCTCCAAGGACAGGCCCTTCCTCTTCCTGCAGAATGTCACATGAGGTTACCACTCACCACCCCTGGGCTCTGGGCAGTAGGTGGGCCTGAGCAGCATGGCTAGCGGATCCACCCCCCGGTACAGAGCAGTCCCCAAGGTCTCTGGCATGGCGGAGGAGGGTGAGGTGACCTCTCCAGGACACGTTGTCTCATGGGGGACCTCCGACAAGACAAACCTCCCTCACCTCTGCCGGACATTTTTAAAAGAGATTTTGAAACAAAAACAAGACAGAAATAGGCTGGTTGTCATAGTTCCAAACCACAGAGGGGTACTTGTTACAAAAAGCGCAAGTTCCTCCTTATGTTTTTACCTCGCCCGGTCTTTTCTCCAGAATCACCCTGACCTCCATGGGGTCCAGCTGGCCTTCTTTACTCTGCTTATGTGGACCCCAAGGTACACAGGTGCGTCTCACAGCCTCGTGAGATCCAGCAGCTTCCATCTGGCACACCTGAAGCACCTCCCATCCACAGGAGCAGGGCTTGGTGCTGGGGGCGTGGCTTGATGGTGGGGGGTGTGGGCTCCAGCCCGACTTTGACGATGCATGGCTGCTGCGAGCCTTGAGCTTCTTGAGCCCCCATTCCTCCGTGAAGAGGGGGAGACAACTGCCTTCTGGGGGATGTTGCGGGGGACGAGATAGGCCTGTGCCTGGCACACAGGGGCCCTCCGTGAGGTCGTTCTTATGCTGTGCAAGGTCATGGCCACGGAGAGCCAGCACCTACACAGGAGCCTGGACACTGCCCCACATATCATGGGCCCTGGTGGCCGTGTGGGTACACTGGGGCAAGGACAGGCTATCTGACCCATATCTGTCTCTACAGCCATCGAGCCCAGAGAGGGATGTGGAGCGGGACGTCTTCCTGTACCGGGCCTACCTTGCACAGGTGAGTGCACTGTGACAGGTGCTGACATGGGTGTCCTGGGGCTCCCAGAGCCCGCATCCTGTTGTGGGATATGGTTCACAGTAAAGTGTGGCGGGTCCTGGCCCCACCATCCTCCGCGCATCACCCTCTGTGCAGACCCTTCCTCATCCCAACCGGCATCCGCTGATCCTCAGGCTCCCTTTCCCATCTCACTTGTGCCCTGAGGGCTCCCTGCTGCCATGCCACAGCACGCCACGTCATGCCGCATCACCCCGTCCCACTAGCTGAGCGCTGCCTCACAGGGACGAGACCGAGGCATACCTGGACCAGGGGAGATGTGACCAATACCACCTTCCTGCTGATGGTTCTGTCCAGAACCATGCGCTGTCCTATGGCAGCTCCCTCAGACCGTAGGGCCTTCCTAGGTCTGACAGAACTGCCCTCATCAGCCGGCCCCCTCCCCACCACAAGAGCAGTCCCCTGGGCATGTAGGCCCTCCCTGGGGCTTTTTAGAAATACCACACGTGTGTTCATGTGTGTGTGTGTGTGTCAGTGCGTGTGTGTGTGTGCGCGCGCGTACGTGCATGTCTGCTTCTAGGAAACCAATGCATGTCCATGGTCATAAGAAAACCCAAACTGTCCAGAAAGGAACC